ATTTGGTATTCTGGTGTATGAATATAAAACAATTGATTTTTCCATTTTACTGTAGATTTGGTTGTGAAATGCAATTCTGACACTATCCAGAGTTAGGTCAAGTTTCACAGGCTCAGGGCAGTCAAGACTTCAGACACCAGCTGCAGGCTCTGGAGGTCCCAAGCCCCAGACCAACTAGCTACAGGTTAGGAGGTTCCCGGTACCTCCTCAGGTTTGATAATTCACAAGAATGACTCACAGAACTCGGAAAAGAGCTGTTCTTAACGATGGCCATTTTGTTACAATCCTTTATATTTATTATAATGTAAAGATCTATATATCTAATATATTAAAATGTATGATTTTTATATATTAGGGCCAGTCAAATGAAGAGATGCATATGGTGAGGTCTGGGAAGCCCCAAAATGTCCTCAGGACATGCCACCCTCCTGGTACATTGATATATGATTCCCAACCATAGAAGCTCACCCGAGCTTCAGTGTCCAGCATTTTTATTGAGACATCATGACACAGGCATAACTGATTCAATCATTGTCCAGGTGATCAAGCTTGACTGCCAGCTCCCCCTTCTCCTCCTCCTTCCATGAGGTCAGGCCGATAACCCCTGGCTCAACGCCCCACATTTCCAATTACATGGTTGAGCTTTCCTGCATAGCCTGTCCCTGCTCTGAAGCATCTCATTAGAATACATTTGGGTATGTTTGTGGGGTGGGACACCATGAATAACAAAGACACTCCTATTACTCAGGAAATTCCAGTGACTTAAAGGTTACCAACTAGGGAAAAAGACCAGGCAGATTCTTTATTAAACAATAAGATTGTTTCTTGATTTTGGCTATTTTGAAGAGTGCTGCTGCGAGCATTCTGACATGTCTTTTAGTGAATCTATGTGCACATTTCTGTTGGGTATGTGTCTAGGCGTGGAGTTGCTGGGTCATGGAGTATGCCTATATTCAACTTAGGGGGTGCTTCTGAGCATTTTGCTGAAGTGATTATACTGGGCATTGAGTTTTAAGTTATTTGTTCTAAAACATACCCTCAGATTATGAAACCTGGGTCTGAATACTAGGCTATCTGAATACAGATCTTTGTAACATCTCATGTGTTTTTGGTGCGGTGAAGTCGTGTTCGTGTTTTGAGGGCTGCGAGAGGGTGATGTGAGGGTATTTGTTCCTTTGATGCCTTGCATGGATGCATTAGAAAGTAAGATCCTAAAAAGCAACTCTCTGCCAAGTTTTAGCTTTTCATTTGATAACAAAACAGTCATGCAAATAGCAGATACTGTATAGCTATGAATGCTTTGGGCTGCAGCAAGATAAGAATGGTGGGGATCGCAGGCATTTGAGTTGTATTGGTGTCTGTTGATCATCAGCCTTCATGATTTCTCTTCTGTGACTGTAGTTCTTCGGGAGCAAGAGAAGAACTGGCCCTGCTATGAATGTAACCGCCGATTTATAAGCTCGGAGCAGTTGCAACAGCATCTCAATTCTCATGATGAGAAACTAGATGTGTTTAGCAGGTAGGTATGAGGGAGAAAGGCCCACAGACGGAGCTTATAAAGGTTCTGAATCATTTCTGTATTGTCCACTAGCTAATGAGTGTCTCCAAGTGTCATGTGTAGACAGGTAACCAGGTGGGCTACTGAGGGAGCGGTGTTACCTGTCATCTCCTTTTCCCTCTGCTCCTCATTTACTGTTATCCATCTTTTCCAGCATAACCAGTACCCAGCAATGGGAGATCCTTTCATCTTAGGTAAATCTCCCTTAACTGGAGATTCTGAAATAGGAATTTTTGAGATAGCACCTACTTTTAAAATAATCCGGATCTCTGATTTTCAGACTTTTTTCAGCAGTACGATTACTTAATCAAACCAAGTCATATGTTTAATTCCACTGTATAAAAAAGACAGCTGAGGGGAGAATTGTATAGGATGAAGGGGGCAGGGGCCAGATCAGGTAGGGCCTTATGGGAAATGGTAAGAAATTTAGATTTTATTCCAAGTGTGATGAGAAGTCTTTAGAGGGTTTTGGTCAGGGAGTATTGTGATGTTGATTGTATTTTTTTGAAAACCATTTTGGATAAAAATAACACCTGGAAAAAAATAACCACCAGCTTATATTGGAGTAAGAGTGAAGACAAGGAGTCCTGTTAGCATCTATCACAACAGTTTGGGATCGGAATGAGGGTGGTTTGAAGTAGGGTCGTGCCAGGGGGACAGATGTAGGGTTGCCAGCTTTTCCAGGGTTTGGAAAGAGAGGAGACGTGTGAGATGGTAGTTAGGTAAGTGGGAAAGTGAATGTTCTAGGGAAGTACCATACAATTGCCCACTACATTAAATGCCCACTTGGGGTTCATGGTTATGAAATGGAAGTGAACCCACTCGCATGACTGTGCGTTTTTCTCCAGCTTCATTCAGCTGCAAGGATGCTGGTGCAGAGCGGGCAGGAATTGGATTACACAGGGTTGTGGCTTTGCCAAGTGCTCATAACACACACTGAGAAAACAGAGCAGCTGTGGGATGGGAACTGAGAGGACGCACAAGGGAGTGGTTCCCATGGATGACCGTGGAGTGTGTGCTGTGGAAAAAGGGGAGAGAACATCAAGGCAGTGGTGCAGAGCTGCACAGGAGCACCAGAAGGATTGGATTGGAGATGCTTGCGTGGCCGAAGGGTTGCTGAGTGCTTGTACCAGAGGGAGTAAACTACAGAGCCAGGGTAGTGCCCGAGTGGACAGTGCATGGGATTGGCGTGAAGAGGCTTATAAGGGTGACAGGGTCTAGAATGTGACCACAGGGGTAAATGTCTAAGGGGGAGTGGACACAGTGAGATTTGAGTCACTCACTCCTGGGTATCTCCAAAACTCTGTTGGTGGCTCTATTGTAGCACTTTTTATTTTATATTGTGATTTTTGGTTTATATGCCACCTCCCTCTTCTAGAGCCCTGAGGGTAAAATCTGTTGTGTGTAATCTGATGTCCTTAGTGCCTAGCACAGTATGTGATACACAGTAGGTAATACGTTTGTTAGCCAACTGTTAAGAGAAACTTGGGATAACTAGGAAGGTTTAAACTTTGACTGGATATAATAATACTCAGCAACTATCAGGTATTTCTTAGGTGTGATAATGGTATTGTGCTCATATATATATAAAGAGTCCTTATGATTCAGAGAGACATGCCAAGATATCTAGAGATGAAAAGATACCTGGGATTTGCTTCCAAATAATCTACTGGGTATGTATGTGGGCAAGTGGTGGGGATATAGATGGAAAAGGTTGACCATGTGTTGAAAAATGTTGGAATTGGGTTATGGGTACATTGGGCTTATCATGCTGTTCTCTATATTTACCTAGGTTCAGAATTTTCCAACATGAAGAGTCTTTTAAAAGTTCCTGGAAAAAATATATAGTATTTGTTAAATTATTAAATAAATGAGTGGAAGGATAAAATTTGATCTCATTGACATTGTACGCTTTCCACATACATATCTTCTAAAAGAAGCTCTCATAACCTACTTTTTAAAGCCTCTTTTATTAAGGAATTTGTGTTTGCTGGCAATTCATACCAGGCATGGTGGCTCGTGCCTGTAATCCCAGCACTTTGGGAGGCCGAAGAAGGAGGATTGCTTGAGTTCTAGACCAGCCCAGGCAACATGGTGAAACCCTGTCTCTACAAAAAATTAAAATTAGCTGGGCGTGGTGGTACATGCCTGTAGTCCCAGCTACTTGGGACACTGAGGTTAGAGGAT